CGGGGGCGACGGGGCCGGGCGGGTGCGATGGGGCCGGGCGGCTGCGACGGGGCCGGGCAGGGGGCGACGGGGCTGGGCGAGTGCAACGGGGCCGGGCGGGTGTGACGGGGCCGGGCTGGTGCGACGGGGCCGGGCTGGTGCGACGGGGCCGGGCTGGGGCGACGGGGCCGGGCGAGCGCGACGGGGCCTGAAGGCGTGACAGGGCCCAGGAGGGGGGGGGGCTCGACGCGGCCCAGGAGGGGCGCTACGGGGCCCAGGAGGGGCACGACGGGGGCCCAGGAGGGGCGCTACAGGGGCCCAGGAGGGGCGGGACGGGGCCCAGGAGGGGCGCTACGAAGCCCAGGAGGGGCGCGACGAGGCCCAGGAGGGGCGCTACGAAGCCCAGGAGGGGCGCGACGGGGCCCAGGAGGGGTGCTACGGGGCCTGGGAGGGGTGCGACGAGGCCTGGGAGGGGCGCTACAAGGCCCAGGAGGGGCGCGACGGGGCCTGGGAGGGGCGCGACGGGGCCCAGGAGGGGCGCTACAGGGCCCAGGGAGGGCGCGACGGGGCCCAGGAGGGGCGCTACGGAGCCCAGGAGGGGCGCGACGGGGCCCAGGAGGGGCGCTACGGGGCCTGGGAGGGGCGCGACGGGGCCTGGGAGGGGCGCGACGGGGCCTAGGAGGGGCGCTACAGGGCCCAGGAAGGGCGCGACGGGGCCCAGGAGGGGCGCTACGGGGCCTAGGAGGGGCGCGACGGGGCTTGGGAGGGGCGCGACGGGGCCCAGGAGGGGCACTACAGGGCCCAGGAGGGGCGCGACAGGGCCCAGGAGGGGCGCTACGGAGCCCAGGAGGGGCGCGACGAGGTCCAGGAGGGGCGCTACAGGGCCTAGGAGGGGCGCGACGTGGCCTGGGAGGGGCGCGACGGGGCCCAGTGAGGGGTGCGACGGGGCCCAGGAGGGGCGCTAGAGGGGTGAGCGGAAGCGGTAGGTGGGGGGGGGGATCCTACCTACGCGTGATACCATATCGAAATTGAGAAGTGAATGGTAGATAGAGTGAGAGTACACACAGATATACCTAAGTGTTGTACTCTCTAAGAGGCGACCCTATACAGTCTATACAAACATGACAAATACACATGTTTGACATATCAAGCCTAAAATTATATATAACCCATATAATTTAATACACCCCCTAGGCTTGGTAGTCTCAAGCCCACCCAACACCCCCAAGCAGGGCCCTAGATTGGTTTTGAGGCTTTCTGTGTTAAAGTAGCTCTAGGCTAGGATACTAGGCAGGAACAAGGCGCCATGAATGTGGCGGTGGGGTTTAGCTAGGAGGGTAGGAAAAGTGTCGAGAGAAAAGAGAGTTTGGATTAGGAAGAGAGAGGAGTACAAGGAGGGGTTTGTACCCTCTACAGAAAATGTTCAGTAACAACCTACCAAGCCTATATAACTTATAACTTATATAATTTGAACATCCTGATCCATCAGGATTCTCCCTGCAGAAAAGTTTGAATTTTCAGGTTCCCCTAAAAAAAATTCCAGAGCCATCAGAATTACTTGAAAAAAAAATACTGATTTTTCAATCTTTCTATACATGTTATAGTTCATGAATTTTGTGTGTTGAAGTCTTGGTTTTTGGGGGTGCTGGGAATTCGTAGCGAATTCGCACGTGTGTGGCGAGATTGGGGGATGGGCAGGAAACGACAATTGGTGGGGGGGAGAGGGGGGAAGGGCTGAATAGGGGGGGAGGCGACGAGATTGCAGGGGCGGAGGGAATCTCTTCCCTCGCAGAGCCCTAGGGCAGGCGCACATCAAGCAAATTCGGCCAAGGGCCAGCAATTGCCCTCACACAGTCCTCAGCACACCTCCCTCACATGACCTCCTCCAACATACAGCGCGGAGATTTTTTTGACCAAGGGCCAATCAACGCCCTCACACAGCCTCGAGGGGTGGGGGAAGGGGGGGGGGGGGGAGAACCTCGAAATTCTTGACTGCCCCCCCTAGACACGCTTTTGGAAATGACTAAGACCCGCTACAATGCTGAGAAATTCAGGGTTCGCTAAGAAAACTTGCTGAGCGATCAGAGTTTACCCTTACAAAAAGCCTGAAAAAACAGGGTGTGTCATTTACAAAACCCTGCACAATCACGGTAAGTACCGAGAAACTCCCTGCTTTTTTCCTGAATCAGGAAAATTTTCCTGACTTCTGGGGGCCTGCCCCAAGCCCGTACACCTCCCAGGTCCTGCAGCAGGAGGGGCTGCTACCCCTCGTGCGAGGCGGTGACACCCCCGGCGGGTGGCGGCAACGGCGTCAGCGGCGGCGGTGGCAGCGGCAGCGTCGACGACGGCGACGGCGACGGCGGTGACAGCAGCAGCGTCGACGACGGCGGCAGCGACGGCGGCGGCGACGGCGAAACTCGTGGCGCCCGGCGGCATGGCACGGCCCCGCGACGACCGGGAAGAGAATCAGCATCTGCGGCTGGAACTAGGGGTGGTGCAGGGGAGGTGGCGTGCAGGGCTCAAATTTGAAGGGTATTTCACCCTGATTGTCCTTGCCAGCGGCTGCTTTTTTAGGATCACCCTGATATTCAAAGGGTATTTTTGTTATGACACTTTCTCTAAAAGTGTAAGTTTTTTTTACCCTGCTGTAGCCAGAGTAAACCACGATCTACCCTGACCAGGCAGGGTGTTGCCGAAAACAACATGAAACAGAAGCCTACAGGGTCTACAGATTCGATTGTTGTCGAATCTGCCACGCTTGAAACCCCGCCAGCCATGCCCGCCCACCGACAAAGGTACTGGCAGTCAAGCCCCCCAAGAATCGGCGCGCGTGGCAGTGAATTCGTCACGCTGTGGCAGCACTGCTGCCAGCGGCGTGCTGGATGCAGTATGCGCTGTGCATCGAGGCCATTTTCCTGCGTGGTCTCAAGGACAGCTGGGCATTGCATCCACCAGCACAGCAACACCCGCGGCGCAAGGACAGTCTGCCATAGCAGGTTAACTTTGCCGCGCTCTGCGGTTTTCGTTCCCTATCACGAGACCATTCTTGGCCCATCGTCCTCATCCTCTTCTTCCCCCACCTTGTCTTCATACTTCCACCCAACCCAGCTGAGCTGGGTCAATCATTCCCCTCGTTAGTTGTTACTCTATCGCTTCTAGTACTCAGACATGGCTGTTCCCGAGAACGATGAGCCTCACGATGGCCATGTTGGTCATCGTGATAGCCTTAGCGTCCTCGACGTTTTCCCCCTCGCTCGACCAGCAGTCGCGCCCTCGCTCACCCAGCGTAAATCTCCCCCGGGCTCTCTGCAAATTCCTCAGCCCGCCCCACCACAGATTCCTAGATCCCTTTCTCCATCTCCCAAGGCATCGAGCCCATCGACGTTTCAGAGTCTGCCGATGCAGATGAGTCCGACCATCCCTCCGTGACAACCCCACCCTCCCCTACCTCTGAGACCGCCAAAAGGCCGTGACGGTCCGCATGGACGCAGTCGACCCTCTGGGGTGCGCCTCCGCCTCGCCGCCCAGCAAGCCCGCCTCCCGCGCGCCCTTTTCGCCCTGCCGGGCCTGCTGCCGACGCTGTGCCGATGACCGCTGCTGAGGCCGAGTATGCAGTAATTAAGAACCGTTTCGACAACGACTGGTCGAAACGGTTCTCCTGGCTGCGGCTACATCGAATGAAGAACGGATGACCTGCTCTCAAGTGCGCCACGTGCCTCAAACACGCCGACCCATGTGCGAACACGTCGTATGGCATCAAGGGTGAGGGCGGGCGTGATTTGCAGCTCGGCAGCATCCGCTCTCACATCGGCACTCGTGCACACAAATCGGCGATCAAGGCGGAGGAGGATGCTGAGAAAGAGCGCGCGCGGCAAGTGATGCTGACCCGCTGGCAGCGGACGGATCACCAGACGCGGCATCTTATCCGCATGCTGCACATCGCGTTGTTCATTTGCAGGCATGATGCGCCCATCGCGATGTTCATCCCCCTGTGCTGGTTCCTCGCGAAGGAAGGCCACCCCGATCTGCCGACGGGTCGAGGGTACGGCGCCTACTACACAGAGTAAGTTAAAACCTCGACAGTAGTTCTTGTGTTGTGCGCGTTGCTGTTTGATGCTCACTGCTTGTCCTCCCTCCCCACGTGCACTAATTGTGGCCTTCTTGTATGGTAGAAATGCCACGCCGTCCGTCTCTCCTTTGAACTCTACGAGCGACCACTGCCGGGACAAGATTCTGACGGCGACGTGACAGCCTGCTTCGAGCTCTGCGCCTAGTATGCTCGCTCCGTCAACATGTTCCTCGACCGCCGCCTGAACGACCTGCGTAACCTAGAGGGGACTAAGTTGTTCCTGGACAAGACCTACCTAGATGACGACATCCTGCGCGTGGCAGCCTTCAAGAAGTGGCTGAAGCAGCTGGACGGCCTGGTTCGGCACAAGCTCCCAGGTAATCTAGAGCGCCTACTTCTCAACCATGGAGTCATGGTATGCTATGCTATGTGAACAGAATCGCTGCCTCTCAAGTCTAAACACTGAACCATTCCTCCTCACCGCCCCGAACCCCCCTTGCAGGATTCAAGTACAACAATGCAATTATGGAGCTATGGATGTTCACATCCACCATGCACTCCCAGCATCATCATGAGGACTTCTTCCAGGCGCTGAGCAACACGCTGAGTGACAGCAACTGGCAGCTCAGCTACCCCAACATCATGCTCATGTGGCAAGCTGTCGCCATTCTCCCGCTGAGCACTGTCGACTGCGAGCGCGGTTTCTCCAAGCATAACCTGATAAAATATATGGGCGCAGGGTAGCATGGGCGACATCACCCTCGGCCATCTCATGCGGTGCTCCCTGCTGGACTATGACGTGGACTGGTTCGACGTGGTGGCCATCTTTCGTGGAGAAAAGCCCCGCCGCACTATCCGAGACTTCACCGGCGCCATCCCCAGCTCAGCGCCGTTTGCTGAGCCAGAGAACACAACACCCTCTGGTGCTCCCAGCTCAGTCGGCGGGGGGAATAGTGGGTCTGCAGAGTGAGCTATTAGTAGCGGGAGTATAGGTGACTGGCGTGAGACTCACAGAACATGCAGTAGTAGTAGTAGTAGTAGTAGTAGTAATAGTAGTAGTAGTAGTAGTAGTAATAGTAGTAGTAGTAGTAGTAGTAGTAGTAGTAGTAGTAGTAGTAGTAGTAGTAGTAGTAGTAGTAGTAGTAGTAGTAGTAGTAGTAGTAGTAGTAGTAGTAGTAGTAGTAGTAGTAGTAGTAGTAGTAGTAGTAGTAGTAGTAGTAGTAGTAGTAGTAGTAGTAGGTTATTGTTGTATGCATGCGAGATTTGAAAGCACACCAAAGTATGATCGACTGTTGTAAGCTCATGAAAGGGTGTTCAATATTTTTCCCTAGCCAAACAGTGTACTCGTTTTTTTTTTCAAATTTACCTTGGTTTTCGAAGGGTGCCAAAATTTCCACCCTATGAGGCAGGGCAAAATGATTGAGGTACCCTGATTACCAAGGGTCCCCCTAAACCAATTTTGAGCCCTGGTAGCATGGTGTCAACAAAGCGCCGTGGCTGACACGTTGCTGGCTGATGTGCGGGCGAGCTGGCAACGCCTAAAATGTTGCGCGGCCCGCTGCCGCCCGACGACGCCGCCACGGCAGCATGACGACGCTGCCACAGCGCAGCGTCGATGCCGCGGCGACATGTCGACGCTGCCACGGCAGCACGACGACGTCGCCACGGCGTGGCGTCTACACGCAATGCGTCGGGGCTGCAACGGCAGCACGACGAAGCTGCCATGGCAGCTCGGCATGGCCGCCACGGCGGCACAAAAGTGACGAGAGAAGGGGCGGAAGCGTGGGGAGCAGGCCGGGGAGGAGCAACCTGCTCTGGTACCATATTAAACTAAGGACACTAGGTAGCCATGAAAGTAGGAGAGGGTTTAGGAAGGGACCAAAAGTTACGAGGGGAAAGAGAGCTTGATTAGGAAGAGAGAGGGATACAAGGAGGGGGTTGTACCCTCTACAGTAGGTTTCAGTAACACCCACCAAGTCTACAATTATATATAACCTATATAATTTAACATGTTGGACTACATGACCTAGTACGATCTGGATTCAGCTAGTCATTATGACATTCCAAATGGGCATAATACCCTTCTACTTAAAATTACTGTAGGCGACAGTGTCAGAAACTCAGCCACCAACCACTGAGTTAAAAGGGCTTGTTAATAGCGGGTCAGTGCGCCCATAGCCCTCGAGGCTCTGCACCTATGGCCCTTCCCCGAGGATCTTCTCAAGGGTAACCCCAGCGGGTCACTCGACACCCCCGCTCGCTGGGATAGGTGGAAGACACGAGCACCTCTGCAGCGCTAGCACTGGGAATTGAACCTGAGTCACCAACACTCTGAAACCATGTCAGAAACTCAGCCACTAACCACTGAGTTTAAATGGCTTGTTAATAGCAGGTCATTGCGCCCATAGCCCCCCAGGCTCTGCACCTGTGGCCCTTCCCCGAGGATCTTCTCAAGGGTAACCCCAGCGGGTCACTCGACAGACATATCACCATATACGCCTCTTCATGCATTAAAAAACTCAACCTTATCAATGTGCACAACAGCTTTCCACGAATTTTCTATCATGTTATTTTTGCTTCACTTTGACATGGTTTTATGCATATCCACTGTTATGCACTCTCCTAGCTCTATTGTTACTCCAAAAGCAAGCATAATCAAGCACCAAGTGTTCGAATGGAAGAGGGTCCCTCATGTGAGGCTCCAGATGACTAGTGGCATTGCTGCTGCTGAAATTAGCAAAAAGGGTCGAGGGAGAGAAGACTAGGAAAAGTTGATGCAATGAATCGTGTCAACTTATACATATATATGAAATACATTTATAGTCTAGATGGGAAAGTGCTCTTAGAGAGTACAACACAAGCTCATATATACCACATTTGTGCCCTGCAAGAGCTTACTTCACTTTTCTAAAATGGTATCACGCTAGGTAGGTCCCACCCACCCGCGCTTCTGCCCTAGCCTACCTTAGCCTTAGAGCGCCCCGGCCTTAGAGTGCCCTGCCCTTAGCACGACGCGCCAGGCCCTAGCGCGCCACAGCGCTAGCCCCCTGCTCGCCGCACCGGCCTCTGCTCGCCGCGATAACCCCAGCTCGCCGCGACAGCCCCAACTCGCCACCGGCCCCTGCTCATTGCATCGGCCCAGCTCGCCGCCGGGCACTGTTCGCCACGCCAGCCCTAACTCGCCATTGGCCCCTGTTCTTCGCGCCGGCCTCTGCTCGCCGCGACGGCCCAGCTCACCGCCCGGCACCTGCTCGCCGCGCCGGCCCTAGCTCGCCACGCCGGCCTTTGCTAGTTGCACCGGCCCCAGCTCGCCGCGCCACCTCGACGCTGCGCCGGCCTCTGCCCGCCGCTGCGCGGACCTTCTCCTTGACACTATGCCGGCCCCTAGTCCGCGCCGTGCTCGGCCTCTAATCGCCGCCAGCCCCACCTCGAATGCTCTCCATCGCTCTCCACCGCACTCCACCGCCCTCCACCGCACTCCACCGCTCCCCATCGCTCTACACCGCACTCGCATGCTCCCGGCTCCTCCTCCTCCTGGGTCCTCAATTGCTGCAGTTGTGCTGTCTTGCAGCCACTGCTGGCGAGCCGCGGCCGCCTCTGCTGGCATGTGGGCGCCATGGCGGATGTTGTCCTCTGCCTGGACGCCGAGGGCCGCGCGGTGGATTTCGAGGCGTGGCTCGCCGACCTGCGCCGCTAGCTGAAGGGCCAGCGCCAGGACAGTCAATCTCTGGCCGTCCATGTCGACGGTAAACTGCCATGCCATCGCCACGTCTGCTGAGCGTGAGGCTTTTGCAGCTGCTAAAATTGATCGCTCTGTCTAGGAGTCTCGTGATGCCGCTACGTAGCTAGCTATCAGTCACGCCCTCCCGCTGTCCGAGAGTCCCCGCTTTCAGGCCATAGAGACTGCGAAGGGGGATCTAGATGGTGTTGTCGCTTGCTATTCAACTTCCTCCTCTGCCTCTGCTGGTCGTCTCCTCGTGCCCTTTCTCTTCCCTGACCTAGCTTCATTCCGTAGTGTCCCTAATCTTGCCAACCATCTGCGTGCTCTCGAGTCTAGCTACCGCGCTGCTAGCAGTGAGGCTCAGCTCACTGTACTCCCCCCTCCCATCGGCGCCACCCTTTATTTCCTTACGCCACGCGCCTCCCTGACTGGCTAGCCACCGCACGTGACACCTTCCTTAGACTACACCCCGCTGATCTCACCCTTGACGACTTTGTCGCCACCCTGTCGGCGATAGAGTCCCGCCAGTACACTATCGCTCAGTCTAGCGGTACTACGGCAGTCCCTATCTTCCAGGGTTATGCTCCCTCCCAGTGCACTTACTTTGGCGATTCCGCCGCTATTGCTAAGACAGCCATTGCCGCTGAGACCGCTGCGGCGGCCTCAGCGCAAGCTCGTCAAGGTAGAAGCCCCCGTCGCCCCAAGTAGGGCCGTGGGGAAGGGAAGGGTGCAGGGGGTGGTGGGGGTAGTGGGAGCGCTGGGGGTGCAGACAAGGGGGTGGGGGCTTATGCCCCAGAACAGTAGCAGCAACAGCAGGAGAAGCAGCAGCAGCAGCAGCCGCAGCAGTAGAAGTGGGGGCCCCTGCCGCCGTGTTGGCCTGGCGGCTTTGGTGGTGGTGGCCGCGAAGGCGGCCCTTGTAGCTCGACGTCGAGTTGTGGCTCTAGTTCAATGAGTTGCCAATACCATATTCAGTCTGGTCCCCTCCGTGGCACCGTCTGTAGCCGCCCTGGTCACACTTCCGCCCGCTGCTACCGCCGCCTCGACGACCTCTTCCGGCACTGCTTCGGGACCACATCGGCCCTCTCGGACTGGCCCAACCTTGTATGCCGCCGTGTGCCAGTCTTTGAGATAGATATGGATCAAATAGGAAGTGCTATTTATAGAATGGTATGTATGCTAATGACTCTAGTTTTTCTGGACCATATTACTCTGCTGTGCCTAAACTAGGAGCTTCTGTTGTGTGTAATCTAGGCTCCCCTATTGCGTCAGACGTAGGACCCCTTGACCGATGAGGAGGACCTTCTGACTTGTTTAGCCTTGGTTCCAAACTTGCCCCCATACCGGCCGACGCTACCTCCGCGCTCTCCTTCACGTTGGACTCCGGCAGGTCCGCCTGCTTCTTTCACGACCACACCACTTTCATTCCGCTTTTTGCATCGGCAGCAGTCTCCCTTGCAGACCCATCCTCCGGTCCGGTAGTCGTAAGTAGCTCCACCACACTTCCGTGTCCGGCAGTTCCCTTTGGCTCTCTTAGAGGTCTGCACATCCCCTCGTTTTCCAAGAACCTAGTTGGTGTCGGCTGTCTTCAGGACCCACGGTGTCACCACCACGTTTCCTGGACAGGAGCGGTACACAGTCTGTACAGAGGGCGCCACTGATGCTCCCCTCACCATGTTTCCTTGGGACCCTATGTCTGGCTTCTCCACGCTGCACACCGCGCCCCCCCATGTGGCCGCGTCTACGCAGGTCGCTGCGGCTTGCTCGTGTCGGTCGCTCACTCACCCATCGCTACTATGGCACAACTGTCTAGGTCACCCCGCTCTTCTGCGTCTTTGTCACATGTCACAGCACGGTCTTGTCTTAAGTATCCTTGCGTCTCTCCCTGCCCTCCCTCCCTCGGCCGCGCCTCCGTGCATGCCTTGCATCGAGGGGTGATAGCGCACTGCTCCTCAATCCTCCTCATTTCCCCCCACCACAGCGCCACTTCAAACCGTGCATCTGGACATCTGGTCCATGGGCCGCACAGCGAGCATTACTTCCTCGTTCTCGTTGATGACTACTCGCGCTACACCACGGTGTTTCCCCTGGAGCGGAAGGCCGACGTGCCTGACGTTACTATCCCGTGGCTTGTAGCTGCCTGAGTCCACTGCGCCCAGCCTGTGCTTCGTCTACACTCTAACCGTGGAGGCGAGTTCGCCTCTGGTCGGCTTGGCCAGTTCTATCGTGCGGAGGGCATCACCCAATCGTACACACTCCCGAACTCACCAGCTTAACTTGTGGCCCCGCACTTCGCGACCGCAGGTTTCGCCAACCCTCCTCTGAACCGGGTCTCCTGGTGGCGCGTCTGCGTTTCACGTCTGGGGCTGCCTAGCTCACGTCCGCGACTCTCACGCGGACAAGCTCACCGCCCGCATTATCCCTCGTGTCTTCCTCGGTTTCCCCCTAGACTCTCCTGACTGGCAACTTTATCACCTACCGTCTCACCGTTTCCTCCACTCGCGTGACGTCACCTTTGACGAGTCTGTCAACTTCTAAACCTG